TGCTGCTCTCTGGCTACATGAAAGCTCGGACAGTAACGTTCAGAAATAACCTTAACCCCGAGTGGGATGAGGTGGTTTACGTTCCGATCCACAGTGCTCGTGAAAAGCTCACTTTGGAAGTCATGGATGAAGAATCCGTCGGCTCCGACCGATCACTGGGATCGCTTGAAATCAACGCCTCAGATTACGTCCGAGAGAATGAGAACGGAGAATACCTCACTGATGACGAGAAGCAGCATATTTCCAGTGATCTTCGCATTGGTCATGGTCGAGTAAAGGGAAAACTCAATTATACTGTCGCATTCTACCCCAGCATGCCTGTTGTTAACCCTGATGACGAGGTCGAGGAGGATGATCTGACAGAAGGCGCTAATGGTGACGAGGAGAGTAGCGATCAACCCAGAAAGAGCGTGGACTCTAGAAGCAAGATCTCGCATACCAAGTCACCTAGCACGGACTCTAAGGCTGCTACAACAAATGGCACGAATGGTACAGCGGACTCGAAGACCAGTCTTGACTCATCTAGGCCCGCTACTATCAAGGACTCTGAAACGATGTCTGTCAGGTCCATCAAGGAAGTGCCAAAAACTTTCATTTCACTGGAGGATATAGCACAATACGGTAATCCCCCCACATTTCCATTTTCCCAATCATTGTTCCATTTCTGTATTTGAGACTAACCTGCCCGCAGAGTCTGGCTTCCTTGTCTTTAAGTTCCATGAGGTCCACCTTTCTCGCAGCAATGTACAGGTGGAGGTTTTGATGGACGACTATATGTTCCCTGCATACACATCACCTAAGATCCGCTCTAAGTCTGCACAGATTGAAGACAGTATGTGATTGTTCTTGGCAAGAATATTATAAAATGAAAACTAATCGTGTCGCAGTTGGTGATGCCTTCGTGCGTGAGCTCGAATTCTCGAAAATTACACTTCGGATTGTGGACAAGGAGGACCCTAAGGCGAGCAGTGACGAGCATACTGTTGCAAAACTTACAGGCGATACGCTTTCTACTTTGCAGCGCATCTTGGTAAACGAGTCCCGCCATGGTTACAAATTTGGTATCCCATAACTAACTGCTTCTAGTACAACCCAACCGAACTCGCTCTGCGGTCGGACAGTGGGGAAGTAAGTAAGGTCACTGTTAGTGCTCGGTATATCCCTGTACATATGAAGCTTGACCCGTCGGAAAGTATCAACAACATGGGAACCTTACGAGTGGACGTTCTTGATGCTGCTGAGCTCCCATCCGCCGATCGAAATGGTTTCAGCGATCCATACTGCAAATTCCGTCTCAATGACGAAGTGGTGCACAAGACCAAGGTACAGAAGAAGACCCTTCACCCAGCCTGGAACGAATACTTTGAAACACCTATCAAGTCTCGGATCGCGGCAGACTTTCGGGTGGACGTATATGATTGGGATTTCGGTGACAAAGCAGATTATCTGGGCGGTACCCACATCGATCTTGGAGTACTAGATCCCTTCCAAAGCAAGGAAATCTCTCTTCCACTTGATGGCAAGTCGGGTGCAATCCGACTGAAGATGCTGTTTAAGCCGACCTATGTGATGCGATCTCGGCAGGGTTCCTCGACCTTCTCCGGTACCTTTGCTACTCCTGGGAAGATTGTCGGAGCACCCGTGAAGGGTGTCGGATTCGTTGGTGGCAATGTCATCAAGGGTGCTACTTTGGGCGCTTCTTTCTTGAAGCGCGGTATCACCTCGCGATTCCACAAAGATGATTCTTCGAGCATCAACGAGGTCGCAGAAGATGCGGAGGACGTATCCCAGCTGGAGGCACCGTCTGTTCTGGTTGAGGGCAACACTCCACCTAGCTCGGCGCAAAATAATAACCTGCAGCACTCGCGCACTCGGAGTGTGGCTTCGCATTACAGTGATAGACTTGGCCTAGCTGGTAAAGGAGACACGGGAACTGCTACGATTACCGTGGTATCTGCCACCGACTTCCCTCCGTCGACTAATGTGCGTGTCATTGTGAAAGCCCTTGGCCCCAAGCCCAAAGAGGTGCTCAAGAGCAAGACCCACAAAGCCAGTGGTGGTACTGTGCATTTCGATTCATCGCATGAGACCTGCCGTGTGCACAATACCACAGCCGATGCGCAGTATCAAATCCGGGTTGTTGACCATGCTACATTTGGTTCGGATGATGTTCTCGGAGAGGCACTCTTTTTCGTTGATGACCAAGGCTCCGTGGCCGGGCAGGAGAAAGTGGTGAAGGTTGGCAGTGGTTCTGTCGCTATCCGCAGCAGCTTCTCGGGATCCGAATCTGCCCTCCGGCCCGGCACCGCTCATTCGAATGGCGGAGATGCGGCGTCCGACGTAATGGACAGCCCAGATTCCAAGAAGCCCGGCCGTCGCAGCTTCCTTAGCAAGAGGAGCGTTAGCGGTGCATAAACGGCGGGCATACTTAGCGTTCATGAGGAGGAAGTATTGCAGTCGAAGAGGCGTTCTGCCCTTATACGCTTCTCTATGTATTTGTTCCTGATGCCCTTTATGATATTGCGATTTTCCATTATTGTTCCTGTTGTCGGCCGCTGGCCACCAATGTGATGTGATATCCTTGAAGTTCTGATTGGCCACTAGCATTTCTAGGAGGCTAGATGTTGAATGAGTAAATCTTATTGTGATTGCTATTGTCCTTCCAAGACAGACGGATGGGTCATAACTAGGTACCCTACCCTACTTTCTAAATGTAGTTGGACTGCCGTACATACAGCCATACACCGCCGGAATGACCCAGGCGAAATGGAAGGAATGGACCTAAACAGGACTATTAGGTTGTTGAACTGGACAGGACATGACATGTCTTATCCCGGACCCAGTGGAGGAAACGACTATTGGAGTAATGCGCCCACCGGGCCTCTGTTAGGGGCTTCGTTTTTAAGTTTTCTAGCCTCTTCTGTGAACTGTGTCGCTGGCCCGAGCGCATGAAAACGATCTCACTCGGTTCGTATGGAGTAACAAGCCTGATCTATGAGGAGACATTTTCTATAGTCGGGCATAGTTATGACAGTTGTCAACGTGCTGCATATTTGGTACATTTGGTACATATGATATTTATGACATACATACATGCATATCAGGCATCAAGGCCCCCCCTTCTCCAACTGCATGAGTTGTCCAGTTTAGGGGGTCATGACCTCTGGTCCTTTCCCACCAGTCTTCGTTCCCCTTTCAGATCGAATCTGAATCAAGTCTCACGACAAAAGGAGTCGACGCCGGCAACTACCGTCCACAAGCCCTATGGAGTATGGGTACCCTAAGTGGGGTGGTCTTAGAAGTTAATAATACATATGGGCCCAGACCCGGGAAATAATTGATATGGGTACGGTAAAATTAGAAAATCACAATCGGACGATCACGGTGTCTCTGCATGTCGACTGAGACGAGCGACGACTACGGGAGTAGACCGAAAACAAGCGTGGCGATTCATGGGTTGGTGGCCGTGTGATCCGTTGGTGGGATCGCAGTTGATAGCGTTTTTTAGATAGGGAACAAGAAACCGAATAGAATGATCGGACCTACCATTGGACTGTCCGGAGCACACCCGTCAATAGTGCGTAAAACGGGTTCAATGACTGGGAGTACGGTATCACCGGTGTTCGGGATGTCTCAGGTTTCCTCTCTCTCTCTTTCTGCTGCGACTTTACTTAGTCGGCCTACGGGACGTCACTATCGAGGGATTGGGACAATTGTATGGGATATAGTAGGGCACGGAGCATCATGACCGCTTCTGAGTGGCTGAAGTTTCTCGAAAGTGCTCGTGCTCCCTCCTATCATATGGCGAGATTGTATGGAACAGACGAGGAAGTTTCGATGGGCAACTTGCAAGGTTAATTAATATTACGATGGCTCAAAAAGTGACGAGGCAGTGGGGAACTCTCAAGATTACTCTTTGGACATTAGTAAATTCGAACCCTGAGAAAAGGGGGTTATGCTCGGTCTAGAATAAGGAGAGTCCCAATGTCAGATGACGACGGATGACGACCTTTGCCTTTTCTTGCTTTGGATCTACCAGCATCAGCTGCAGATGGACAGAATATAGGTATTCGTTATGTGTACTAGTATACAGTACACACAGTACACTTACCCCTCCTCTCAAGTTGACTTGGTAATTCTCAACAATGCAGTTGCCGTCAGGCCTGGTATTGACGTACGGATGATGCTAAGAATAGGGAAAAAGTATCACGCTTGGCAGACCAAAAAAACAAGAATGTGTCTGCATTTACTGGTTTCGTATGGCCAGTGGACCGTCACCGCCTCCCGGATTCCAGTGGTGGGCTGGTAACGGCTATGTATTAATACCGTTTTGGTCCCCTTGAATTGCAAACCCCACTTCGTTCCCCCCCCCCCCTCTTGCTCTTACTCTGTAAAAGGCGATAAAAATAAAATAATATTAAAAATAATAATAATAATAATAATAGTAATAAAATCAATCAATCAACCATCACAAAGGGGAGCCTAAGGTACCAAACCAACCCAATAGGAACAGTATTAAGCTTCTACTTTCTCCTTGTCTGGTTTGCTTTGAATCTTCTTCTCTCTCTTCCTTTCTTTGCCCAACTATCCTTTACTCTTCTCTCCCCCCCCTCCACCCTTGCTCTCATCATTATCCACGTAAGTACTTCCCCTCTCCCCTCCGGCCCTGTCGCACCATTTACCGTTGGGGACGAGTACCCATGACGGCACCTGATTGAAACCCATTCCTCTCCTCCGAAAGGATCGACGCTCTCTGGCGTGGCAACAGAACCCTCCTCGGGGTCCCCAATGGCCCGCTTAAATCAAGTGTCGTGTCCTCTTGCTCGTCCTTCCCTTTGTGTTCATTCTTGCTTGCTCTTCACACCCACTCTCAAGCTTTCTGAAGCTCCGTTAAAGCTAACCCCAACGGTGTTGACCGTGACAGAAATCATTCCGTCGCCCCCTTTAACTTGAGCACTCCCACCTTAGTCCTCTGGCTATCTCCCCGCATAACATACACAATGGCAGCCAAAGCTTTGCCTACCCACCTCAGAGCGCCGGCCACGGAAACCTCCAATGCTGGCTCTTTCGGCAAGCACCACGGAAAGTCTCAGTCTCACATGGTAAGTCTTGTGGATTTCGTTGGTACTCGTCTACAGTTGCGATTGTGAATGTTGGCCCGTGGCTTCCTGAATTGTATGCATATTTCCTGGGCTGCTGGGCTGTCAACCTGCAGAATACTGTAGGGAAGGACCCTGGGGCGCAGATCTGGGTTGCGACTGCTCTTAAGCAACTAGAGATCTGCCTTGTCCAATGTCTATATGGACATATTAACCTGCCTTGAATGGCGGGCCTGCATGGACTTGGTATACTTAGCACCTCATATCCCTACTACTCGACAAGCAGGTATTTCCTTTGCACAGTGCCTCACCTCCTTGAAGAAAGCGTACATTGCGTTTTGCCGTGTTACCTTGCTGGAAATCTTCAGTACTTATCCTGTGCTCCCTGAAACATATATCGCATTCCCCTGAACAGCTATTTGACATATTTGCTTCTATCACTCCTGTTTGCGATCTTCTCTCTTCACAGCCGGACGCTAGTTTCTATAACTATTTTTACCTGCGGGGAGCACCTCACTGAGGATTGTTCTTGTTATTTTACAAATCGTTTTTGGTTTTTCCATCCGCCGAATTTCTGTCATGTCATGGTTTAAGACTTGCATGCTAACAAGCCGATTTCCTCAGGCGTTCGAGAATGCCTCGACCAGCGTTGCTGCTTCTCAGATGCGTAATGCTCTGAATGCCCTCTCAGAGACCGTCCCTGATTCTCAGGAGCGCAAGCGCTTTGAGGCTGAAATGGACAACTTCTTCGCCCTCTTCCGCAGATTTCTGAATGACAAGGCTAAGGGCAACGAAGTGAACTGGGACCGCATTGCTCCTCCCCAGCCTTCCCAGGTGGTGAACTACGAGAGCTTGGGCAGCGAGGCCTCGGTTGAGTTCCTGAACAAGTTGGCTGTCGTTAAGCTAAACGGTGGCTTGGGTACTTCCATGGGTTGCGTTGGCCCCAAGTCAGTCATTGAGGTCCGTGAGGGCATGTCGTTCCTGGATCTGTCCGTTCGCCAGATCGAGCACCTGAACCGCACTTTTAACGTCAACGTTCCCTTCGTCCTGATGAACTCGTTCAACACTGACCAGGACACTCAATCCATCATCAAGAAATACCAGGGCCACAACGTTGATATCCTCACCTTCAACCAGTCTCGCTACCCTCGTATCATCAAGGACTCTCTTCTCCCCGCTCCTAAGAGTTTTGACGCTCCTCTTCAGGCTGGTACCCCCCTGGACACGGTGATGTCTTTGAGTCCCTGTACAACTCTGGCACTCTCGACAAGCTCTTGGAGCGCGGTGTGGAGTACATCTTCTTGTCCAACGCTGACAACTTGGGTGCGGTGGTCGACCTTCGCATCTTGCAGCACATGGTTGATACCGAGTCTGAGTACATCATGGAATTGACTGATAAGACTAAGGCCGATGTGAAGGGTGGTACTATCATCGACTACGAGGGCAAGGCTCGTCTTCTGGAAATCGCCCAGGTTCCCAAGGAGCACGTCAACGAGTTCAAGTCTATCAAGAAGTTCAAATACTTCAACACCAACAACATCTGGATGAGCCTCCGTGCCATCAAGCGTGTCGTTGAAGAGAATGAACTGGAGATGGAAATCATTGCCAATGAGAAGTCGATCCCCGCCGACAAGAAGGGTGACGCCGACCAGGCCATCTATCAGCTTGAGACCGCTGTTGGTGCCGCTATCCGTCACTTCAAGAACGGCCATGGTGTGAACGTCCCTCGTCGCCGCTTCCTGCCCGTGAAGACATGCTCCGATCTCTTGTTGGTCAAGTCGGACCTTTACCGCCTGGAGCACGGTCAGCTGGTCATGGACCCTAACCGCTTTGGCGGTGTTCCTGTGATCAAGCTTGGATCCGACTTCAAGAAGGTTTCAGACTTCCAGAAGCACATTCCCAGCATTCCCCGTATCGTTGAGCTCGACCACCTGACGATCACTGGTGCCGTCAACCTGGGCCGTAATGTTACTCTGAAGGGCACAGTCATCATTGTCGCCACGGAGGGTAGCACTATCGATGTGCCTCCTGGCTCGGTACTGGAGAACTGTGTCGTTCAGGGAAGCTTGCGTATCCTGGAGCATTAAGTTACACGTTGAACTGCCATCGGCTTGCACCATTCTCCGTTTGCCCTTACCTGGGCTGGTACAGAAGGAGGTGCCTGCAAGGCCGGATAGATCTGTTTTAGAAGCGGGGGTTTCTTACCTTATGTGGATTTTGGGTCTGATTAACATATATCCTGTGTTGATTGAACGTCTGGGAGGCGCATTCGTGGCAACGGTTTCGATTGGGGTGTGCAGCAAAACTTAGTTTAGTATTGTCCATAATCTTTTATTATCTTCTAAGTACTAGTTCTATTTGACTTTTGTCCGGACTGACTATATCCTTGATTTCCTTGATTCTAACCAAGCATTCCTGGCCCGATGGGACGCCGCAGGATCTACCTACCCGCACAGCGTGTCTCATCCGCGTAAGCAAAGACCCCCCGGACACTAGGGTCGAGGATGATTTCCTGGTACGGTGGCCCCTCGACTTAACTCAAAAACCTACTCGGCCTCGTTCTGGCAACACATGATTGCTCAGGGCCCCTTCGGGACCCCCATCACGTGCCAGATCGCGGGACTATCTTCCGGGTGTTTGCTATTGTTCCATCTCTCCCGGTCAACCCGCTCTGGCTTCAGAAACGGCGAGGAAAAGCTGTAAAGGGGTTCCGAGGTCCTTTCCATGAACCTGGTCTTCTGACCTACCGATTTGTAAGATGTGGCTGCTGTAGCACCTGACGTGGCCATGGACGCCGTAGGGTTCGGACACGGTTTCCTGTTGCCATAACCAGAATCGCCTTACGCCTCTAACGTTTTCCTGTACGTCATGCATAGGCAACTCGGGCTCAATTCAAGCAAGAAGGAGGGGTTTCTGGAATCGTGTTATGCGGAGCCTTGGAGCCGTCTTCTTGTTCTGGACTCGTCTTCACATGGCAGACTTTACTGTGTTTATTAGTATAAGACTCATCGATGTTCACCAATTTGCCTTCACCACACTCTATTCAATTGCTTTGTGGGTCCCTGGCGAGTGATTGGCGAACGAGTTGAACTGGCCGTGTTTATTTATTGTATGCTTTCGCCGCCACCATGAGCGAACCGTCAGCGCGCCGTCAAATTGCCCCGGGACCTTCTTTGAAATCTGAATTGCCCCCTGGTGATAGTCCGCCTGGAGAAAACTACCGGAGCACGCCGATGGATCCTTCAAAGAAGCGGGTGTCTATGGCCTGTTTGGCTTGTAAGAAGTCTAAGCGGAAAGTATGTTGACTTAGCTTGAGCATCACTGCAGAATGAACGTCTCCTCGTTCCTTTCTTCTCTCTTTCACCTTTTATTCCATTTTATTATCAGTATTACTAATATGGTCTCTTTTCTTCCTCTTCAAGAATTGGAATTGAGTTTGCTACTGACGGATTGTGACTTAGTGCTCCGGGGTACCTCCGTGTGACAATTGCCGGGCCTTCAATCGACAGTGCATCTTTGATGAAACCCTAGACCAACGCCGGCGAGTAGCGGCTAAACGTACCGCAGATGAGCTCAGTTACCACCGAGACATGCTCAATGACCTCCTGAGAGTGATGCGAGCTGATGATCAGTCGTTTGGCCTCAGGCTGTTGGACATCATTCGAAGGGATGCTACAGCAGAGGAGATGCGTGGGTTTATCGACGAGGCGCTGGCCCAGATGGAGGGGACAGACAGTGCGGACGAGGTCACTCTGCGCAAGCTGGAGGATGTTAGACGGGTGATCAATGCCGAGGGTGCCGGACCGTCCTTTCGTCCAAAGGTGATGGACATTCATTACTTATGCGATGAGGTGCCCTTTCGAGTTCCCGCAAAACCATGGACTACAGTTACTGAGGATGCAGATCTTGTATCACACTTAGTATCCCTGTACTTCACCTGGGACTTTCCGTTTCATGCCTTTCTCGACCGCGATGTGTTCCTACGGGACATGGCCAGGGGCGACCTCAACTCGGAGTGTTGTAGTCCATTCCTGGTCAACGCGCTTCTTGCAAATGCATGCGTATGTGAGAGTCTTGTCACTTCTGTGGATACATACTAATTCCATGCAGCATTTCTCAGATTATTCAGAGGCATACGTGGATCCAGGCGATATTGTAACCAAGGGCGCTGATTTTCTCGCCGAGGCTGAACGGCTAAGGGACGAGGAGCCTGCAAAGCTGAGTCTCGCATTCCTACAAGGTACCCTTCTATTATATGAAAGGTTCGCGGTCAAACCATACTCTATCTTCATTGGCGCCTGCTATCTAACATCTACCAAAGGTATTCCATATCAGGACATAATGACCTCGGTTATAAAATGCTCCATCAAGCGATATGGACGGGCGAATCGCTAGGCTTGATTGGCCCTAAAGTCTTTAAGTTCAGCTCTGGACAGCTCACCGATGATATGGATGTTTCCATCAAGCGGACCGCCTGGGGCTTGTTCCATATAGACACGTAAGTCGTCTGATCGTACCGGAAGAGAGTAGCTCTCATACTGTGACTAGCGTCGTCCACACCGACTTCTTAAGACCGAGTCTAATTGACAAAGTCAACTTGGAACGGCCTGACAGAACTCGAATGGATGAAACCACTCCATGGGTTCCGTATCCTTCCCATCGCGCTCCGCGACCGTCCCTTCTCAGCCAGTACTTTGACGAGTCATTCAATCTGTGTGAGATTGCCCGTGATATATCACGGCAACTGTATGCGATCAATGGCTCATCTTTCTCTGCATACCATCAACGCCGCACTAAGGAGGCACTGTATGAAAGGCTTCGTCGATGGCATCAGGGGTTACCGGATACTTTCAACCCAGATCATAAACCACCACCATATATTATATTGCTAAGGTGCGCCTCTCTTTATATCGTTCGTCGAATATATTGAGCAGAGCAGACTAATTGCTACATTAGGATGAGGTATCATACTTTGACCATCAATCTATTTTCATGGAGGCCCGGGGATGATGTGTCGAGTATCGATTCCGAGGCTCCTAAAACGCCCGAGAGCCCTCCTGGCCTTAGCCCCTCACATTCGAAGTTCGATGCCCTGGAGAATATACTGTCTTCGGCGCGTGCCATTTCCGCTTTGACTCGTCTCTATCGGCGGGAATATGGCGTGAGTCGTGCACATCACTTTGCGCTGTATGCCATCAATTTGGCTCTGTTTACGATGCTAGATCATGACAGTTTTGATATTTTGGATCAAGACTTCCTATCGCTGACGAGCGCCTTCATAAGTTTAGCCAGCCGTTCTCAGCTAGGGAGGAATCTCTTCCATCTGTTCCGACAATCTGTCCTGACCAAAGGCCAGGGGCAGCGGGCCTCGAGCTCTAGTACTGTCAATGATGAGCTGAAGGCTTTATTCACTGAAGACATCTCATCACCGTCTCGATGGGATGGTTACGCAAAGGGACTGGAGAAACTTAACGAAGATGAACGATACCATGGCATCCCGGGAGAGGGAGATCACACACTCTTCGACATGCTCGATTGTTATGAGAGCTTGAGCTTAGGGAAAGATGAAGTAGCTCCGGAGAGATATCGACCAGAGACACGATAGATACCAACGTTGCGGTCAGAGTGGGCGGAATGCCCAGACCAAGAACTACATATATCCTGTACTTGGAGCTTACACAGTATCTACTAGCCTGTTTATTCATATAGTAACCATGGACATCCTTGTTTTAGCATGTCTGCCGCCTATATCACCCTATATATGTAGTTGTATATGTAGTTGATTTTCCTCTTCCCGTGATCTTCGGGTGGTGACATCATTGGCTGTTCATCTCCCGTTGGACTACATCATCCTCTCTTACAAGCCTATGGGTCGAACCAGTCATGGTCATTGCGGTCCGTGCCTTGTTACCGAGGACCTGAAAAGCCCTGCAGAACGAAAGCTGTTCATCTGTCGCCATGAGACAAATACCGTTCATGGGTCATATCGGCCACTGTGTCATCTCTCAATGGAGAATAACTCTCAGCCGTATTATTACAACTTGCCGGCCGGCGAGGAGAGCATTCGAGGCCCAGGGCTCGATCCCTCGGTGCTTCAGTCTTCTGACTGGCTTTGGGGCTCGGTGCCTGTCAGTCCTGGTAGCTTCAGCTTCAACCCCTACGCCATACCGCCATACACGGACCGACCTCCGTTTCCAAACCAGCAATCGTCCAGATCGTCCTCTTCACGAGAGATCCCAAAGGTGGCTATTCCGCGGACTGCAGGTATCAGTGGTCAGTCCCAACGTCGCCGATCCGCGCGCGCTTGCGAACCTTGTCGTCAGCGGAAAATCAAATGCGATGGAAACAAGCCCGCCTGTAAACAATGTGTGGAGCACAACGTGAGCTGTTCCTATCTAGATGCGAAACGAGTCCGAGATCAGAAACAGCTTGGGGTGCTAGCAAAGAAGGTCCAGCGTTATGAGAAACTACTGGAAGTGATTGAACCAGAAGTTGAAGGTGCTCTCGCAAGGCGGATTAGAAAGAGCTTACAGGTTTGTAACACTTCCCGTATACCACCGTCAGTTTGTTGGCCTGGCTTGAAGAATAGAATAGTTTATTAATACGTGCAGGGTTCTGAGGCATCATCTGCAGACGATGCCTCTGACTCGGGTGACGAAACTTCATCGATTGGATCCTTGGATGAGATTGACCTGATAGATGAGGATTTGAATCGGGATGAGAAGTCGATAGCCACGGGATTCTTTGGCAAGAACTCTGAGATATACTGGATGCAGAGGTTGGAGGATGAGATCGAAGGTCGTAGTCAAGGCCTCGATGACTCGGGCATGGTGCCGGACCAAGCTACTTCTACGCAGGAGCAGAAGCATGATGTCCCCAGTACAACAGTAAGCTACCATCTCGACGACCTACAACTCCCATTAATGGATTCCGTGGATGCATACGCGCTGCCGCCAAAAGAGCTAGCAGACCAGTTCTTTACCGCATTTATGGAGTCTGTGCATCCGGCATTCATGGTCATCCGGAAGAGTATCTTTACTGCGCAATATCGGCAGTTCTTTAGCCAACCGTCGAATCCACCGCGGAGATGGCTTGCCATTCTAAATATGATTTTCGCTATTGGTTGCCGATATCAACATCTTGTGGATCACGCAGGGGGTGGGGATTTGGATGATGTACTATACCTGAACCGCGCCCGGAAGTTAGCCTTGAGCGGAAATGTGCTGTTTGAACATGCAGATTTACAGCAAATCCAGGTGGAGTTTCTAGTGGCTTTATACTTGCTATCAATGGGTCAGGTTAATAGGTAAGCAGGAATCCGACCTGCGAGGACGTGTCTCTCGATAGCAATGTTCACACTTTTAGGTCATTCAAATTCTCGAGTATGGCACTTCGATCAGCTTTGTCACTTGGAATCAACCTTCGCTTGGTGGATGGCCGAACACACTACACGTCAAAAGAGGCGCGAAACCGCCTGTGGTGGTCTATTTATCTTCTTGAGCATCAGCTTACGTCCGTCACGGGCAGAGTCTCTTGCGTCAATGAGAACCTGAGCTCCACGCCACTTCCAGTGCCATTCGAGGAGGACGCTTTCGGTAGACCGGAAGTTCTTTGTCTTTTCCAGGATTCATCCATGCGTGAAAGCCACTTAAAACTGACATTGCTCCAAACTGAAGAGGAGGCTCGGTCTAGCGCCGAATGGCTACTGACTTGCGAGCCCACCTCATCTCTGTTTTTCTATTGCCTGGTAGACCTCACGAGCATAACTCAAGCCGTGATGAACAAAGTTTACAGCATCCAAGCTTTACGCGAGCCTAGTGGTAGGATTCACCGCCGCATACGAAAATATGGCAAGACCCTGGAGACTTGGCTGTCCAAACTGCCCCAGGCTTTTCGATTCACAGAGTCACATAGCGAGCGATTTCATGTACCAGCAGCTGATGATCCCTTTATACAAGAGCGAATATGCCTTGCCTTCAACTTTTATAGCTCCAAGATTACGCTCTGCCGGCCATGCGTCACTCATACCAATCTGAAAGGAAGCTCCTCATCCCAGTCAACAAAGGTGTCACACTCTGACTTCCGCGATGAGATGGCCCTCAGCTGTCTGCGCTCCGCCTGCTCCCTAACCTCCATTCTACCCGAAGAACCGGATATTCACTGGTTGGCACGCGTGTCACCATGGTGGACGATTCTCCATCATCTAATGCAAGCTAACACCGCACTACTTCTTGGACTCTCCTGCTGGTCCGTTACCGAGTTGCCCAAGACATCCAAGCCTACAAACCCAGTGACCCCACCTATAGACACTCAAACCATGCTTGCAGCATGTAAAAAGGTCATCCGCTGGCTCCACGCCATGAGCTACACTAACACTGCTGCTCGACGTGCGTTTCTCTTCTGCGATAGTTTCATCCGTCGTATGGCGCCGAGTTTGGGCCTCGATCTTGCCGGTCTCCCGGATGGAACGTCCTTGCCTTCCCCCAACGACTCCATTTGGATGATGGCGGATGGTCCGGAAGAAATGTGTTAAGCGTTATGTTCAGTCAATGAGTTATTTGAATGCTGGAAAATGTGCCCATGTTTTGTTTGCACGTGTCGCGGTCATGAATTTATGAAACCTGTTCACTAAATTGTAGACCTGGAGCTAATATCAATATTAAACCTGAGTCGACTACTAGATTTACCATATTATCAACTGTGTAGAAATGAGAATAATACCAAGCAATATAATTCCGAATCTCCCTGTCCATATGGTAGGTACACAAGCTGAATATGTCCCCCCACACACACGCCCTCAGCCGAACCCTACAGACACAAAATACAAAAAGACAATAATAGTAAAGATCCACTTGAGATAAATTCAACTAACAATAAACATAAAATAGAACTAGCCAGTAAGTCAATGTTCAACCAAAACAAAAAGCAGCTTAGAACGATGGGGAGGTTCAGGGCGGACAAGGTAAGTAAATACGTATAGCTGACGCTGAAGAAGAACCAGAACCAGGTGGGGAAAACGCAGAATTGAAAGAACAGTATGGAAAAGAGAGAAGACAAACTCGTGACGGGAAGGAAATTAACTCGTTAGCATTGATTGATGCATGGGAGCATCGGCTTGATTGGTGGATAAAAATAAAAGATGAAACGAAATATGAATATGAATATGAATATGAATGAGATAACCATAATCGTAGGTATGCTGGAAATGGAGCAGATATAAACTGGAAACAGGAGATGAGAAGAAAGAAACAGGTGTTGCTCTGAGAACTGTCGACAAACGGAGAAACAGATTATGAGATGCGAATAGCGATTATTTCCACGGGCTGAGGGCACAATTTACATCTGTGGCATGATATAGGCTCGTTTGCGCGGGTCATCGTCTAGAGATGGTGGTCCGCGCTTTTGAGCTGGGTTTAGGGCCATTGCATCCGCTTGTGCATGCGGGTGCTGGTGTGCATGTTGCACGTGCTGTGCGTGCTGAGCTTGAGGGTGCTGGTGCTGGTGCTGATGCACATGTGAAAGGGGATGGTGTTGATGCTGCTGTGGATGTGGGTGGTGCTGCGGGTGGTGCTGATGGGCCATCTGGAGCTGGTGGTGGTGGGCCTGCAATTGGGGCTGAACTTGCATTGTTGATTGGGCTTGGATCGGAGGTTGAGCTTGCATCTGAGTTTGGGTTGGTATCTGCGGTTGCACCTGCATTTGTGGTTGAGCGTGTAAATGAGGTTGAGCCTTTGCTTGCGGTTGTGGTTGTGGCTGCGGCTGCGGCTGATGTTGGTGTTGATGATGTTGATGTTGAACGTGGCCCTGGGCCTGCTGGGGCTGTGCTTGAGGTTGGGTTTGGCCCTGGCCTGGTGTTGGGGGTTGCTGGCCTTGTGCTTTCGCTTGGGCTTCGGCTTCGGCTGCCGCCTGTCGAGCAGCAACATCGGCCTTACGAGGACGGCCACGAGGACGCCCCGTACCGGACGGTTTCGATGAGGCTGGTTTGCGGGGAGGCTTGGGCTTTGGCGGAGCATTGGGGTCAATTTCAGACTTGCGTGGACGACCGCGGCGTCTCTTTTGCGGTACTATGGTGCCGTCTGCATTAAGCGTGGTACCAGGCGCGGCGGGAGGGGGAGCCTGGACCTGTCCTTGTACGCCTGGAGCTATGGCCGACGCTGTAGCTGGAGCTTTAGCAGCCGAGGTAGGAGTCGCATTGTTGCCTTGCGCGGCGGCGGCGGCGGCGGCGGCAGCTGCCACTGCTTTGGATGGAGTTTTTCTAGGCTTTGGTGTCTTGCCTTCTTCTCCTGGAACTAAGGATTTTCGCGGGCGACCTCGTTTTTTAGGAGTCCCAGTATTGTCTGCGGACGCAGGCTTGTCCTGTGTTGGAGCTTGAGGTTGCCCCGGGGTTTGCTGAGCCTGCTGTTGCTGTTGCTGCTGCTGGGCCTGAGCCTGAGCATGTGCATGAGCTTGTGCCTGAGCTTGCGCTTGAGCCTGAGCCTGAGCCTGAGCTTGTGCTTGTGCTTGCGCTTGGGCCTTGGCCTGCGCTTGGGCC